GCTTATCCCAGTTACATTTTACAGGTTTTAGAAGAATTCCTAAAGTTAATGTATATCAACCAAGGAAGCTTAGCAGATCTTAGAAGAATGAACTCAAGTTGTCATGATCTGAAAATTAACAGCCTTCTGGCTACTGTACTAACAAAGGATGGGGTTCCTATTTGTCAATGCCTGTCAGTGAGTAAGTTCCATAGGGAACCAGTGGAACAGAGTCTAAGGAGTCTAAGAATTTAGTCTCTGGTGCCAGACTGCCTGACTTCAGACCCCAGTATTATTGCTCCCTGGGTGTGGGACTTGGACGTATTAACTAGTAATATCTCTTGGGATTCTGAAAACTAGTGAATGAAATAATGCACGTAAAATGCTTTGTACAGTGACTGCATATAGTAATAAAGGGGAGTTTTTGTTACTAGCGGAATTTAATATGGGCCTGATGGGTCTGAAGATGCCATGTATCATCCAAAAGGGCTGTTTTTCTTTGGAATATTTGTGGACTAAAGTTGTGTGTGGGTGTTTGTTACTTTGTGATTCCCTTCTGTTTCCCAGTGTCACAAAAGCTGTGGTATGGGAGAAATGATCATAGGACAGACTGCCTTCAATTTCCTCTCCATTCTCATAGAACAGACCAGCAGCCCTAAGGCAGAGATCTGTAAATGCTCGCAGCTTCAAGATTGGATTAAGATTGAGATAACCTTTGTGGTCAGAGACTAACAAGTATGCTTGGACTGACCTTTTTGAGGTGTCCATGGTAGAAATAATATTGGGGGTCACACAAAGTTGATGATAAGGCAGTGGTATAATGCTATTGGAGAAAATAGAGTGAACAGATATGGAAACTAGAACTACCTGACTCAAAGGGAAAAAGCTTGGTATAAGTGAGCAGAGGCATACAGACGTATTTCAGAATTTAAGGGTTTGTTATATTCACTGTTGACCTGTTCTGACTCCTCAGCAGATTTTTAACCCCTACCAACCTTCACTGCCCTTAATCACCACTACTTCCACCACCACCACCACCACCCCCCCAGCCAGCCTCCCCCTCTCCATCCTCACTGCCCCCAGCAGCACCCCGACTCTCACCAACACCATGGCTACAGCAACTCAGTTCCTTGAAGGACTCCAATGGGGAGGATATTTGCCTCTTTTCCAAGCTTTGATTCCTTCTCTCTGCCTGACCACCTTTCTGTTGTTCAGTCCACCAGCTCTGTGCGTAGGCTAAGGAGAGGATTTACAAATATACTTCAACAGCTTTGCTTTTCTCTGACTTACGAAAGAATTACTGATTTTTTTTATCATTTTCTTTATGAATAACAAGAGATGTTAATTAGTTTGATTTATTAAATTTAAAGCAATTGTTTTAATTTTGCAGTGTTTACATTTTTTAATTGTACAGTTTCTGATGTTGCTGATCTGAAGAGCAGGACAACATTCTTCTCCTCTCCTCTCAGTACCTTTTCTTCTTCCTGTTTGCCCTTGCAGTTGCCAGTCTGCGCCCCAGGGACAGGTTAGCATGTTGTCCCAGGACTGTAAATGTTTCATGACTGAAAAGATTGTCTCCTCTGTGATCAAGCTGTTCAAGGCCAGGCCTGATGCAAATTGTAAAGAAAGTTTTTTCACTAATTTACTCCACACCAAAGCTGCTTTCAGTAAGGGGTCAGATAAACGTACATAGTATGAGGTAGCAATGACAGGTTAGCAGTGGAGCAAAGCAAAAGAATGGAAATGCTGTTTACAGAAATAAGATTGTATGGGGAGGGCAAGGGTCGCCGCCTCTGAATACTCTCAAAGGCCACTTAACAGTAATTTATGTATCTGCAACTTTCAGCCGTTCTTTTTCCCTTCCTCCTCCTTTACCTGCCCATTTCTCAAGACCCAGCCCAAAGGTGACCTCTTGCAGGAACCAGTTCTGATTCCCTGTACTCCTGACCCCATGATGTCAACATTCTCTGCCCAGAGTGGACCCCTTTCACCCTGCTCTCCATTCTCCCATTTCCAGGGGCATCCAGCCTTTTGGCATCTCTGGGCCACAGTGGAAGAAGAGTTGTCTTGGGCCACACATTAAATACACAAAGACTAACGAAAACTGATGAGCACAAAAAGATTTTAAGTAAATTTATGGTTTTGTGTTGGGCCTTATCCATAGCCATCCTGGGCTGCATGCGGCCCATTAGGTGGGGGTTGGACACCACTGCGAGACAGTCAGGTTCTCAGTAGCAGCCCTAATTGTTTCCCAGCATCTAACACCATGGCATTCAGGAAATGCTTTGGGACTAAAGTGAATTGTAGTTCTATTTGCTATTTGAAGAGGGCAATATTTTTTAAACATGGAAACCATGATAACTTTCTTCAAAAACAGGTGAGAGGTTGTTCATTCTCTTCTTGAATTCACGTGCTCCTAAATCCTAAGCCTGGAGATATACCACTAGGTAGGATAATCTTTTTTCTTTTTAAAGAATAGAACACTTTGATGATTCTAGTCAAGGTTTACGTACAGTTGGTTGTATATGCCCTTGGCTGAAAGCCTTCTTCATGGCAAATTCACTTTGCTTAGAGAAAGTGTTCAGATCTAAATGGGCTGCATATGGATCAGTGCAGAAGGGAGGAGAGCCGCCTCTCCTGACCAGCTGGACCAGCTGGGTCAACCCTGGGGCCCAGCTGGAGGAGGGCTGCATGAGCTCCAGATTCTTTCTCTCTTGTAGGACAGCTTGGGCAAAGATTGGAGCAGGCTGATGAATGGATCGGATTTTATGAAAAAGGTGATACCATCTGGCTTACATTAGAATCAATAATTTTTTAATTTGTTCTTTATTTATCTGTCCTCTATTCCAGTTTTCTGTGTTATTTGTATGTGTGCAATGGAGAGAGACTGATTTTTGTCTTTTGTTTTGGAAGTACAAAAAAATTATAATAGCCCAGGCTTTATTCCAGAATTCTCCTTTTAGTTCTTTCCGTGTGAAGAATAGCTTCCCTTTGTTTTGCTTGCCCTGTTTGCCGCTGTGGGGCTGATGATCACTATTTATTAACCCTGGGCTTGTAGACATAAGGGTGTAGCAACTGTGGCCACTGCCAGGCTCATGGACACCTCTTCTTGCCTGGACAGACAGGAGGAAAGAGATTTGGACATTGCTGTTCCTTTTACATAATATCTTCTTTATGACATCGTTTTAATGATCAAACTTTTATCCTAAGTTTCTACATCTTTAAAAAAGTTCATCTAGCAATACCTACTATCTCTGTCTTTCTCCAGCAGACATTGTAAGGATAATTAAGGAACAGATATGTGAAATGTTTTGAACTCAGTGGAAGGGAGAAGCCATCAGGCTCAAAAGTATTATGGTTATTTAGATTTATACTGTTACCATATGATCAAGAACATATTAATTTTGGGAATGACAGTAAGATCATGTTTGGACATCTATTCCTATTTAACAAGCACAATTGGATTTTGCCAAAAAATACCTCAATTTGTAGATTAAAAACAAATCAATGGGAAATGATCAGAAAGTTTTTGCTACATTTTTTTATCAGTCTTTTTTTTTAATTCTAAAAATAAGTGTCTTTTAAAGGGAATTTATTAAAAAGCTTCATTTTCTGGAATTTTATGTATCTGCAATAAATAATAAATAAGGTAGCTGCTGCCTGCCTCCACTTTCATGCAAAATAAATGAATACATTTGGTGACATACATTTGAGTTTAGTTCTTGTAATTTTTACAGAAATCAGGAACAACTTTGCAGATGATAGAAATTTTACCATCTGCCAGTAACAAAGAAACAGCTCGTAACACAAGGATTTTACTGAATCTAGCATATATACTTGTATTGGTGTGCCAGGATTCAGAATTCTCTATAGCTCAGTCTCCAGAGAAGCTGACCTGTCAGCCTGTCGTGGGAAAGGTTCCTTTGCTTCTAAAGCAGATGGCATGGTCCTCACATTGCTTGAATGGCAGGGGAGGAAAGAGGGCTGAGTTTTAATGGCAACAGTTCAAAAGAAAGGATTGTGAATATCTGCACGGATTTCACTTGTAATTAGTGGAATGTTGGACTTACTGTTGAGAAGATACTGTCTTTGCGAATCAAAACATTTAGTATTGATAGAGACCTAAGTTCAGATGTTTAGGGAGAGGTGGGAGATGGCAAGTACAGACTTTCCCTTACAATGACATTTTCTTTAAGCAGGTGGCATTTTAGCTTCCTAGGTCTGACACGATATGTAGGGGTTGTGGTAAAGGATAAGGTGTGGGTGGATTGGGAAGAGCTGAATGCTTAGTGGAGACTACAGGGCTGCCTACCAAGGAAGGAGACAAGATTCCTCTGGAAAGGAAGGTATTGAAGAAGTGTTGTCCCTCTTCTTAAGTTTCCTTTGCTCTCATCTGGAGCAGAGGGATGATTGTCATTTTTGGTCCTTTTGGTTTCATCTGATGGTATGGAGGGTAGTGCATGACATGAGCGTCATGATGGTCCCATAAAAGATGACCAGTGCATTTTGTTGGTATATTATGTGTAGGTGGTCCTGAGGGTATTTTTAGTATTAGAAGCCATAGGCTAGGTATGCAGGCAGGATCTTGTTAGAGAACTTTAGCTAACAGCAGCCTGCATCTTGGGATGCTTTTGATTACCTTCAGGCTTAAAAGGGTCAGGGAATGAGGCCAATTTTATTAAGGACTAGCAGCTTTCTCCTCACCTCCATCTTCCCCATATTTGGAAGTGATCCTCAGAAATGCAGTGAGTCCAATATCTGCCTAACTGATTTTGATTTTTCAGCCTGATGCCTTTGTGTTATACATATAAGCCAAGTTGCCAACTGGGTGCGGTTTATAAATTAGTTTTCATTGCTACACTCCACAGAGTCCCTCCCTTTTGTCACACCTCCTGTTTCGACCCCCTTTGCGCCCCCTTGCCCTTAGGGGCAAAAAAGCAGACAAGCTCATGCACACTAGGATACAAGGACTCATCAGGTTTAAATGTTTTCCCTTCTTGTGGTGTCTACATTTCTTACAGGGGAGAAGATATCTTAAACCAGAGGAATGACTCTCTAGTTGTGGAATTTCAGTCATCAGCCAGCCGATGCAGGAGGTATTATTTTGGGCATGGGGGCCTTCTCAGAAGCCCAACATCACCCTAAATGACCACCTGCCTGCTCCATGTTACATAAGGCCACATCGTGCATCACTTACATGTTTGGTTGGCTTGACCTGCCTAAGGGCAGTGAGCATGTTTGTGGGAGTCTCTGTGCATGGAGTTGGGCACAGAACAGTGGGTGCCTCACAGGTGGCCTTACATTCTGGCCAGGGGAAGGAGTGTGATGCATGTAATGCAACGGTTTTTTTTTTCTTCTTTGTTACTGCACATGCTGGTATTGATCCAAAAGTTAGAAGGTTCACAATAAAACTGAAATTCTCCTGTTGGTGAAAGCCAACTTTGTGTCCATCCACAGCATGAGTCATGTGTCCTTAGAGAAGCTCCATTTGAAATCCATGGAATGTTCATGAAAGCTGGGGTTTCATATTGTGAACATCCACAAGCAGGGCAGGACAATTGTATTCTCTCTATTGAACTCAAGCCTGTTCTTTGAATAAAAGTGTCATTTCCATCTTGTGCTTCCCTTATACCATTCAGTGTTACTGTAGCCACCCCAGAGTTCCTTGTGATGGTGGTGTGGGAGCTGCGAGCCTCTTGGTTAGGCTGTGGCTGCAGTCTCTCTTTATATGAAGGTCACAAGTTAGACTCCCAAACCTAGTAACTTAAGGATGAATTAAAATGCTAACAGGCTCTATGTTTGTTTGTTTGTTTTTAACATTCCCTACTCTTAAGTTTAAATGCAGTGCCCTAGCTGCTCTCACAGCCTCTCTGGGAGCATTTTTAGCTTCGCCAATGTGACAGTGTTATTTAAAGTATGTTCTGGTCACATGGGCAGAGATAGAAGGAAAAACAATATTTATTTTATGATTATTTTATTTGTTCCCTCTACAGTTACATAACACAAATATTCTCTCTATTCTCTCTTTTATGCAAGATAATAATTCAGCTAAAAACAAAACAAAACAAAATCCTTACTATTTTCATGTTTCTTTGAACCCACGGATCCTTCCACTATTAACAGTATTTCATAGCACTACATGGATTTGGGCACCTAAAGCCATTTTGAAGCCCTTTTAATAGACTACCTTCATGTTTAAACCTTACTCTGCCACCATGAAACATCCCTGTTCTGTAGCATGTAGAAACCACATGCTGTGTTTTCGTTCTCACATCCCTGGAAAGGGGGAGAACCATAGTCAGTAGGTTGCAGTCCTGCTCCCAGCTTGAGCTTCTGCCCACACTGGACCAAGTGGGAGCTCTAAGCAAAATGATGGTAAGGTCACTTAAATGAAATGCTTCTGCTGGGAAATGAAGGCAGTCCTCATTTTAAGGAACATATAGGTTCTTTACAATTGGTAGTGTTGGTTGTATCTACACTGAGGCCAGATTTCTTTATCAAGGAGCTGAAAAAAAAAAGCATGTTTCCTTCTTTGACTAAATGGGTCACTTCCTTATCATTAGTTGAATTAGGCCCTTTATTTTTTCCTTAATGGGGGGAAGGAACACTATTTCTTCCTTACTCCTCCCAGTTATCTGGTGTCTGGTCACTTCATAATTGCATTTTAGGAGAAGAGATATTAATTTTCTCCAACAAAAGGCTGAGTTCCTTGATGACACACCATAATTCAATTTCCGTTCTCTCCCTTCATTGCCTGTACCTCTTCCTCCTGGCACATTTTTCATAGTTAGGAGGAGCGATAGTGTCAAATATATCAAAAGGAAGAATTGATTCAGTTCTAGTTTGACGACTTGACTGATTAACAGAGATCAGAAGAAGGCTCATAACTGTGAAAGCCACTACAGCATGGAGTTTTAACAGCTCTTTAGGGAGCTGGTTAATGAAAGAATCACTACAGAAACACAGTCATGCAAAAAAAAAAAAAAAAAAAAAAAAGGAACAGGAGCATTCCCATATAATGTTCGAAGACTATGTCATAGGAGGAAATGTGCTCATAATTTCTATTTACACATTACAATAATTACTGCCTGCCTTAAGATTACTTTTAGTCTTCTGCTGTCAGAGTTGCTTAGATATTCCCCCTTTCACATGACAGGCAGAGAGGTCTAGTACCAGTTGGAACTTGTCTTAAGGACTTTTTTCCTTTTAAAGAATGTAATTATCAGACACCTGAGCCTGTACTGCTTGATTAGACTAGTTTTAATCCGATCCATGTTCTTGTTATCATCACCATTTGTCCGTGAACCAGATTTCTGCACTTGAGTCAATGTGAGATTGGACTTTAGCCTTTAATTTTTTGTGTGTGCATGTGGTTATTCTCTTTTATTTCTTTTGATGCAGTGTCTATGAACCAGATAGAAACGCGTTACGGAGGAAAGAGCGAGAAAGGAGAAATCAGGAAACTCAGCAAGATGATGGCACATTTAATTCCAGTTATTCCCTTTTCAGTGAACCCTACAAGGTAATGGCTTTCTGTTGTTCATCTCCATCCCTCACTCATGGGTACCTCTTACCCCTAGGATAGCAGTCTTGACCAGAAGAGGTGACCAGTCAGATTTCACTTAGTTTTCCTCCTGTTCAGCCTAGGAAACACCACCCAGCCACTAAAAATGCAGTCTTCCCTGCACATCTTGGTGTCAAAATTCAGAGCTACTTGCTGTAATTTTTATCAATAATATATATTTCATCTATGCTTTGATTTCCAAAGTCAGCGCCATTTGTTATATTTTCTAAGGTGTTAGGAAACAAACAGTATTTAAAAAGCTTAGGTTACATATCTGTCACATACAGATCATGGTGTTATCAGAGTTATCTAATAGGGCTAATAAGACAGAAACTTGGATTGGTTTTCATTTATACCAAAGACCAGAAATATAACCACTTTTTAAAAATGGTATGTCATTCCAAATCTCACTAGTATCTTAGTGTGTAGTTTAGGCCCATAGCTTCTTGCATATTTAGCCCCATGTTCATTTTAAACTTCACTCTGACTTTTCCTGCCTGTCACAATTATGCTGACAAGAATAATTACATATTGAGAAATTGGAAAAAGAACAGTTTGAGCCAAATCTGAATTTTCAAGGAAAGCTTTCAACAGGACTGCAAAAAAAGAAAAGGAAATCCACTCCTGGAGAACCTTAATCTGGACCATTTTATGAAGTTGTACTAGTATAGTGTGTGATTTCCTCAGCTGTCACACAGTCCCAAGGACAGGTGCCTTTTTTGCCTACTCTAAGGCCCTCAGCCTTCTGGGTCTGGTGCAATGCAGAATGCTCATAGACACCTTCAGGGATGACGATTTTGATTCATCTCACCTCGCATTCTGCACGTGGCACCCCAGTGCTCTGTGGTTGATAAAGGCAGTTCTCCACTATTTGCCATGTTTCTTTTGACTCTAACAACAGGGTGTGTTTTTCTTTCTCCAGACTAACAAGGGGGATGAACTCTCCAACCGGATCCAGAATACTTTAGGCAATTATGATGAAATGAAAGACTTTTTAACTGATAGATCTAATCAGAGTCATCTCGTTGGTGTTCCCAAACCTGGGGTTCCTCAGGCTCCTGTGAACAAGATCGATGAACATTTTGTTGCAGATTCAAGAGCCCAGCCCCAGCCCTCGTCTGTTTGCAGCACTGCATCTTCCACACCAGCAGCTGTCCCCGTGCAGCAGAGTAAGAGGGGCACCATGGGCTGGCAGAAGGCTGGGCACCCACCACCCGATGGCCAGCAGAGAGCAAGTAAGCGTGGACACAGGTTGATTGATTTGAACAGATCTGCTAATCCAAAGAACCATAATAAAAAACCTAACCACTGTGTGTCAAGCCCCCCATCCTCACCTTCCTCTTCTTCTTCTTTCAACTCAGCACAACAGGGCTCTCTCAGGACCTTGCTTGGAGATGGTGTTGGCAGACAGCAGCCACGGGCCAAACAAGTATGCAATGTAGAGGTGGGTCTTCAGACCCAGGATAGGCCACCTACTATACCAGCCAAGCACAGCAGCAGTGGACACTGTGTTCAGAACTTTCCTCCATCCCTGGCTTCAAAACCCAGCCTGGTTCAACAGAAACCAACGGCATACGTGCGGCCAATGGATGGCCAAGATCAAGCTCCTGATGAGTCTCCAAAGCTTAAGTCTTCCACAGAAACCAGTGTGCACTGCACATCATATAGGGGAGTCCCAGCCACCAAGCCAGAGTCCACCAGAGCCAAGGCCAAGCTGTCCAAGTTCAGTATCCCCAAACAAGCAGAGGTGAGTCTTTTCTCCTTACCACTTACATGCATAAGTATTTCTGTGCAATGACCTCACAGTTGGGAATTCAGTTCTCATGCTTCTTTACTTCAGTGAGTGACTGCCTTCATGTGGTAAGATTTGTAGCAGTCAATAAGGAAGGATGTTTGCATAAATAATGCTTCCTTAAATTGATTATAGTCAGAATTTTTAAAGTTTTAACAAATGTAGTTGTATGCGTGTTTCATTTAGTTCAGGAAGGAATGTCTCCTTGAATATAGTTCAAGGGATATTTAGTAAACAAGCCAGTGTTGATGGAGATATTAGATACTAAAAATAAAAGTACTTTAAAAGTTATGATTTTTAGCTCTGACCAGTATAGTTTGGTTGGGTGGGCATTATTCCACAAAACAAAAGATCACTGGTTTGATTCCCAGTCAGGATATATGCTTGGGTGGCGGTTTGTTCCCCAGTCAGGGTGCATGCAGGAGGCAACCAATCAATATTTCTCTCCTTCCCTTCCCCTCTCTGCCCCTCTCTCTAAAAATAAATAAGTAAAAAAATTTTTTTTTAAAGCTATAGCCCTGACTGGTGTAGCTCAGTGGTTGGGCGTTGTACCGCAAACTGAAAGGTCACTGGTTTGATTCCTGGTCAGGGCACATGCCTGGGTTGTGGGCCAGGTCCCTGGTTGTGGGTGTTTGAGAGGCAGCTGATCAGGGTTCCTCTTGTGTATCGATGTTTCTCTCCCTGTCTCTAAAATAAATAAATAAAATCTTTAAAAATTTTCTACAAAGCTATAATTTTTAGTATATAAGCAAGATAATTTTTATGTAAAATAATTCAAAAATTTAACAGTTTGGTCAGCTTTGAAATGTTCCAGGACAGACTTTACAAAGTAAGCCTCAGAGTGAGTTTGAAAGTAATTGTTAAATGATTCAATGCTGATTATGGTGAATTCAGATGTATGAGATGTCCCATCCATATAGTAATACTTAAGATCCAAGTTCATTGGTGTTAATGCAGTAAGGACTCTCTGTGTCCTATGAAAATTACTTTAGGTTATATAAAGAGAGTGAAACCTTTTAGTTCATATTCTCCTGGTTTGCATTTTGACTTTATTTAAATGTGAAGATTGAATGTATGGAATATTAGAATTTAAAACAAGCAAATCACATAGTCACAGAGAGAGCAAAGAGGCCATGACTAGTAACTTGAACAGAAATCTGGATGGAAAATGAACTTTTGTTTTAGAGAATCACATTTCATACTATATCCTTGATTGATGACAGTTGTCAAGAGCACATGAATAAGAAATATGACTGCACATGTTTTTCTTTTGCTGTGATATGGTATACTAACTGAAATAAAATGTGAGTCCTAGAATGTTGTGCTTAAGAACTGTTCAAGTTTTTTTTTTTCTTTTTGGCATATTCTTTTCTAAAGATGGAATAACATTGTAGCCAGATAGTCTTTGTATTTTAATTTGATTTAATAATCAAATTAGGCAAATGATTCAGCATATCTTTTGAGTATCTGACAATGCTAAGCTTAACCATTTTTGAGCTGTCATCTCAGAAAGTATCATGCATCAATTGAGAGATCACATACTATCATTAGAGAAGACTTTTTTTTTTACACTTTGAGATACTCACACAGGTTCTAATGAGGAAATTAGATGACATGTATACCAGTAACCAGGAACATCTTTTGATAATTCATTTATAATGGATCCCAGAAAATGTTAATTAAGAATTAGCAGAAGAAAAAAGTATAAGTTATGCAAGAATTTATGTTTTTAAAGTTTGTAGGAAACACACACAGATACCACCTTACAAAACTGAATTCATCAAGCTCTTTCATTTTTGTTGACCTTCAATGGCAAGGAAGCCAAAACATGGTTTATCCTTGAACAGAGGTGACTGCAACCATCAGGAATCCCTTTGTAATATTAATCCTGATTGATTTCTGGCTAAAATGATTTTTATGTACCAAAAAATCTTCCAATTTATTTCATAATTATTTATTTTGGGATCTAATGAATTGACAAAGCTCTGGTTAAAAGCCAGTTTTTGATCACCAATCCAGTCTTATTAACTAGATAGTTTTCATTAGTTTTTTGGGTATGTGGGGACACTTTCAGGATGCCCTTGCAGCACCCCGGTTTGGGAATGGCACACTGGACTGGTGTTTGGCAATCACAGGAGGAGGGAAATGCCTGACGTAGAGAGTTAGAATGACAGAAATTAGAGCTTTGATACAGGAAATGTTTCACTTCCCCCACGTGTAATGACATTGAACCAGTCAGCCTGCTTCTTCCTAACATTCTATACTAAATACTTCAAAGAAGGCAATCACAAATTGATAGGAAAGAGGTAAGAAGTGTTGTTCATAGGACAAAGCTAAAATCAGTGGATTTTTTTTTTCGGTGGGATATACAGTGCTTATTTTAGCAGAAAGCTTTGCATGTTATGGAAAATATGGTAATTTGAATCTTGAACACTGCTGTGTTTAATCAGTCTGCTATCACAATAACAAAATGGCTCTTTCTGCTTAGTAGCAGGGTGGTACCTGTAAGTTAAATTTCCCAACCTTCAAACTCAAAGGGGTTTTTTTTGTTTATTTGTTTTTACTCCAAAAAATTTAAGAAGTACCTTTTGGCAAGTATATCATTTAGTATTTATAGGGCAATTTCATAAAATCCACATTCTTAACATAGAAGCTGAAGAATTTTATCAACCTGTCAGATTTTACTTTTTAGGGAATATTTGCTTTTTTTTTTTTTGGAGGGAATAAAACTTTTAATTTTAAAAATATTAATGCCTATTTTTTCTTACACAGATAGCATCTGTATGAAAATATCCTCTCAGTAGTTGACTGATCTCCAGTGAAGCAGAGAATGTGTTTTTTAGGGAAATTGACAGAGGAAATGACCTAAAGGGAACTTGTATTTCTTGACTATACATTTTTAGGATGATAGGTAGACCAAGACTATGACAGTGTGAAGAATTTGGGGGCTAAAAGGAAGTGTTAGGGAAAAATGACAAAGACAGAGAAGGTGCAGCTACAGCTGTGTGGTGTCGTATAGGTATGTTCCTCAAGAGAAAATCAAGTCAATGACCAGGTATAATGTGATGTGAGACATTTAAAAAAAAAATCTAAGATGTGATCTCTGCTTCCAAGACATGTACATGAATTGAATAAATTAGATGCCAACACTTAGCTTTTACTTTGCAATTTCTGTCGCTTAAAGTCCAAACTGAATTTAAAATTGTCTTTCTAGCCCTAGGACAATTCTCTTATCTTCATAACCCTTGTAGTAGAAAATATTTTATATTATTTTTAAAAATTGAGAATGTGTGAATCTCTTTAGCCTGATTTTACACTTAGAAATTCTTCATTCTTTCCCTTACAATACCTGCACTCTATCTGCTGCCATAGTGAGTTATTTCTTATTCTTTAGTCTTCAATAATAGGTAATTAGTATAGAAAAATTCAGTGCAATTTGATGTGGAAGTTAAAGACCTCAAGGGAATTCTTTAACTGATACACCTGTCTTCTGGCTAGCTTTTCTTAGTTCAGTTTAGTGTTGAATGAAAAACATTTTTGTTGTTATAGCTGAGTCTTTTACTCTCGATGCCACCCGTCATTAAGTGAGCCCTCCCTGGAGTGTCCCTTGGAAGGGTGACTACTGTTAGGTGAGAGTCAGGAGACTTAACAAATGACTGAAGCATGCATTCTAGAATGTTCTAGGGTAGAGCACACTAAATCTTATTTCCAATTGATGTGAATTATTTTTGTTTTCACACACAAACACAAAATTAATGTTTTGCCCTTAACATGTTAACTCAAGATTTGGATGTTGGGGACTTTTTACCTGGATGGTGAGATACAGGTTTTGTGGGACCTACAATTTATAGTTTTGGAGGTCCTCTTTAGGAAAAACAGGATAGAAAAATTATCTTACACTTGAAATTTTTACAAAATCATATATTAGCATATTGCCAGGGCCCCTCCTGGGACCTTGGAGAAACCTCCACTCAAGAGGCCCTGAAGCGTGTGTGTCATCAGCTTCCCAGTCTGTCTGTCTTTGGCTCATGGAACAATAATAAATTATTATTAAAATGATTTTAGACTTGAAAAGAGTGCTTTACATTAGCTTCAAATGTCATAGAATTTAAAAATAATATCTAATGCTAGGTGATGTAGGCAAGGCAAAAATGAGACAATGCTATGGAAAAGTCTAATATGCAATGCTATTGAGACAAAATATGGGTCTCAGAGGCTGTGAAATTGTTTGGCAAGATTACAGTTACAGCAGTGGGATTCCAAATCATACACAGTTTAATCTCTGTTAGCTGTTAATTTAATAAATACCTCTGATTTGAAACTGCTCTTGCAGAGGACTCTGGTGGCTGGAAATAGAATGCATTCGGACAGCCAGGGAAGGAAGGAAACCAGTGGCTACTGCCCTTAGCTTAGTCAGTGATAAGGAAAGAAACACCTAAATTTGAATGTCAGTGAACAGACTGTATATTAGGAGTTTTAGTTGTGGTTGAGAATTCATCTGCAAGAACAGAGTAACCATTTTTGCTTGATCAAAATTTTATTTGTTAATGTAACTAATTAAATAGTTTAAGATATATTGATTAATCATCATGTTTTCACAGAGGGCATTTTAAAATTGCTATTTATATCACGAATAAGAGCATAAAAATAAAGTACAGTGATTCTACAAAATTGCTTCCTAGAAAAGCAATTAGCTGATTTTTTTTAAGTTCACAGAAGATAAATGGTATAGGCTTCCTATTTCCTGTCACTCTTGGTTACCTTTGTACGAAAATGGATCTCTTCCACATTAAAGTTGGCACCAGCCTGTCAGACAAAAAAGGCATCTGCAAAGCAATGCGTATATTACATATTCGTGCCAGTCTAAAGTTCTTAATTACATTTGAGATGTCTAATGTTTTCAAACCCAACTATGCTATTTGTGCTTTGATGAAATGGCTAGCTTGTAGACTCGG